AAGAACAAAGCCCCTCTTCACGTGGGCTTTATTCCGCTCATACCTGGCAGCAGATGGGAAGCTTTCAATCTCCTGAGGCTGCCACTATTTAATATTGTCCCCAAGAAATGCTGGCCTTCTTCCAGCACACGTTCAAGAAAAAGACGTTTTCCCAGAGCTATATCACAACCTGTTGATTTTTTGCATGATAAAGACTCAAAATGCCAAGAAAATTTGAAGAAGTTTAAAAGGAAGAAAAGAAGAGATTCATGAAGAGGGGCTACAACATAAAGCCAATAAAACAGAGATAGGATTTTAAATGCACAAAAGTAAATAGGGAAGTGACCACATCGTAATTTAGTGGTAGAAAATGGGAAGCTGAGGGCAAATGGGAGGGCATGTGCATATGTGGTACTTTAGACGGCAAGTGAACCACATCAGAGTGTCGCACAGTCTGCAGAGCTTTCTGATGGTGCTTGTGTTTTAGACAATTCCTGTCTCACCACACAATGAGGGGTTCAAACTCGGGCTCAGGACATTAGGCTTCGGAGCAGGCTTCCAGTTTTAAGAACTGCAAGGAATTTAGTTTGCGCACACCAAAAGCACAGGAAGATCCAGGGCAACACAATGCACTTGGAAACAACTCAGGGATTCACATCAAAGCATAAAACCAGCATGGTGTTGCTGTGCAAAATTAGCTTTGATTGCTAATGTGGTCGTAGCCTGCGTGATCTTAGTTGTATTTTAAAATTTCTAATGGTGGGTAAGGAGACAACTTTTATTTTCTTGCTATCCAACTTTTGAATTATAAGTCTACTATTGGTGATTAAAAACACCAGCCCCCATCAATTTTCTTCTCTGGTTTCATTACATAATCAACAGAAATATTTCATGCACTGAAATCAGAAGGAATCCCTATAACTACCTACTCTTGACCCACTAATCACAGACCAGCACAGAGCTTAGAAGCATTACAAATGCACCATCTTTAAAATGCCATTTTCTCCTCCTACTCTTACTGCTTTAAAGACTATTTAGGACTTGATTTTTAAAGCATAACTTTGAATAGACTAAATACAATTACAAACAGATATCTAGATATTCCAGATTTTCTAGATGTGTTTATCAAACAATGATTTGAGATGCTGCTCCCTTGCCAAACAACTGACTGCCTCTAACTATAGCTATAGCTAACTATAGCAAGAGGCCAAAAAGATCTAAGATCAGGACAACAAAATCACAATTTGCTACTTTTATGAATTACTTCTGTAAAACTTAGTAGGCTGTTAGTTCCTCATTCAACTCCAGGCGCATGCTGAAATTCAGACACAAAAATATCTTCATCCAGTCTATGCATTTATTTTAATCTCTCTGTTGAATCTGCATGTACCAGCTGCTATGTGAAGATTTTTGTTATCCCAGAGTAATGCTCCTTCTAATAATCAATGCATTAATTCCAACTACTACAAGACAATTACAGCTACGTATCTTTGATGAGTCCTATTACATAAAAAGAATTCTGACTTGATAGTATAGTAATAGTAAAAGACAAATAAGCAAACAACACTGTATCATCTGAAGCATCAAAATTCATTCTCTGAAGCTTTCAACAGAAAATTTGAACTGCATTGATACAATTCTAAACTAACTTCTGTGACAACTTCTAAGTAAGACAATGAAATAGGAGGACAACTGGAGAATTTCAAAAATTTACAGTGACCATTGAATCTTGGAGGCCTTTTATTTGTTTGTTTGTTTGTTTGTTTGTTTTTCTCCTCAAAGCTAACCCTGAGCAACCCATCTTCTTTAGACACTGGCCCTGCTTTGAGCAAGAGATTGGTCCAGGTGAACTCCATAGCTGAATTATTCCATGTTTCTGGATGGAAATTCCAAATAAATAAAAAGAACACACACATTGTAGCTCAACTCATCTCATGCATAAAAATACCTTGATTTCTCTAGGACTGCCTGCCTTGTGGAGAAGTTGAGACTTTGTATTCTTGGAATAACTCTACAAAAAGTAAAGAGAATTCTATTTTAAAAATTAAAAATAAACCTTGATTAAAAGTATGGTCATATTTTCAGATAGAACTAGATACATTAAATGTCTTGAGAAAGATGCCAAGTAGCAGTCTGTTGTTAGACACAAGTTAGTTTGCTCTTCTAGGGCTTGACTGTAGAAATGCTCAACAGACACCAAGAACACACATTAAGGGAACTGTTGTTTGCTCCATTGGGTGTCTAGGTACACCAAGCAGTGGATCAAATAACTGTCCCATATCTTCAAGACCACAGAGGTCTGAGAAAACAGAATAAACCTTCAAATACATTATTCTGTGGAATACTTCCTTCTGCACAGACATAAAGAGCAGCAGAAGCTTAACAATGTGACAGATGCCTCAATAACCTCAACCTAAAATTGAAGGTAAAAAAAAAAAACCAAACATTATGTTCCTTCCCCCCTCAAAGAAAGCTGACATGAAATAGTAATATAACTTAATTAAAAGTATGCTTGAACTATCTAATAGAACAAGACTTTTGAAGTGTGTTTTCTGTAAAAAATAAATTAAATCCCCTCTTAATACTGAACTTAAAATGTCTGCTGTTAAAAGTTTAATATTTTACTCAGTATTCGAAACATGTGTACCAAACTCGTAATGCAATATTAATCTAGTTTATGTCAGCAGCATTTTACTGCTAGTACAGAAGTACTGTTTCTGGGATTCATGAGGAGCCACATAGCAGGCATTGCAACTCCCCTACTCAGGAAACACACAGAGTACCCAAAACACAGGAACACAAGCCCCTCCTAGCTATTCCCAACCCTCTAAAAGGACTTGGGAGAAAGGGGTACACTAACAAATGGCTGCTTCTCTTAAAATCCATGAAGACACATACTCAGGCCAAGTGAGTTCTTCAGAATTCTTCTTATTTGAAGCAAATAAGACTACCCATGCTTTTAACATTAGCCATTTATGTTTAATGCTATTTTTAGACCTCAGGTACTCAAGTATCATAGACATACACAATGACATCTTGTGAAGCTAAACATTAAAGATCTCTAAATATATTTTCTTCATAATCCCCTGAGTATCTGATGCAGCACTTATGGCAAAAATATATTCCAGGTTGATTGGTTCCTATTTCAGTATTTTTCTTCAATCTTTTCCAACAACTGTGTAAGTCCATGGAAGCGTTATCCTGGACTTCTGTGGGTTTGGATCAGTCTCTTTGCAGATGGCTGGAAAAGTCACTAACACAGGCATGCCACTACCCTCCTATCGTTTTATTACCTTCAAATTGGAACATATAAATCAAAAATATCTATTACCTTAATTAATGAACACACTGGATGTTATTTTATCAGTGGCTGCAATATTAAGAGAAATCATAACAGGCTTCCCCTCTAATCACAAAGCATTTACCTGATAAAAAAATATTTTAAAAAGCAGCCGTTATTTAAAGAGATCGTTCCTTGAGAGGAGAAAAACGTGGTTCATTGTCACTGCATTAAAGGTTTTTCAGGTTATATGAAAAAAATTGCACAGCAAATAAGTCTTAGGTGCATTATGTCTCCATCAGGAATGAATTGAATATTAGATCAATTTAGGAACACTGAGGCTCACCTTAGGACACCCAGATGAAGTGAATGGACAAGAATTGAAAAAAAGAAAAAGAAAAAAACCCCACAGCAGCGAGTACATGCCCACCCTTGGCTGGAGTTATATAAGGCTCCTTTTCGGGAGCTACTCCATTAACCATTAAGCTGATAGCAATTCTCTTTCCTTTCATCTTCTGATGCTGATAATCATGTACAGACCAGGTATGAAAGCATATCCTTAGTGCTGACTTTTTTTTTTTTTTTTTCCTAAATGACTTTCAAAAAACAAACTACTTGAAATAGCTGCCACATCTATCCTATAAAGGCGGGGGGAAAAGTTGTCATCTTTCTTCTCATTGGACCCCACCCTGTCTGACATCCTCTGCCGTCGTGCTTGCCCAAGACTCTGGGCATTATTTCTTTCTTTATACTGGACTCTGTAACAAACTGCACCGCACGCTACAACAAACATCTTCCCTTTCTCATGTCATGTGGGAATAATTTACCAGCTGGACTTACTTGGGCAGACCATGAGAGGGAGAAGCAGAATTAATATTTGGCTCTAGCCTCACAAAGGCTTTTGGACAAGCTTTCATTTTGCTCACCTTGAGGGCTACCACCTTCTAGAAACAGGAATCTAATTTTATTCATTCACTTTTTTTACCCAATCTTGGTTTTAAAAGCTTGTTTTCTGCATATTCTGATGTTTGTTTTGCACCCCAAGGTTGAAGAGTCATTTCAAGTTACTTATAATTTTTGCTGCTGGAGAAAGAAGTAGAAATCTTAACTACCATACATTCTAGCCTGTCCACAGTGACATCAGCTTGAAAACTCATTTCATTGGATCATTCTGGATATTTGACATTTATAAGCTTTTTTTTAACCAAAATTATTATATAGATTTACTGGCTGAAAAATCCAGTTCTTATTGCAAATACATGTTTTTAAATGCTCTCGGCAAGATCGCTCTAAAGCGGTGCACCGTAATTCCATAAGGAAAATCCTTCCTATTGTCTGAGTTGCATTACATGCATATTCCCCCTCCTAGTTAACTCCTTGCCTACCGGAGTCTTCACTAAACTATGATATCACCTTTAACAGAAGCAGCTTGCACTCTTTCCATACGCCAAGTGTGGTGAACACAGTGCCTTAAAAAAATAAATAAATGGGGGATATATTCCAACCATTCATTCTTTATGCCATTCCTTCAGCCTCCAAACTCCCTCAACCACATTAAAGGAAAAAAAAAAAAAAAAAGAAGTTGGCCTTATGATTTTTACACAGCAATTCCCCAACTCCGATGACAGAAATGCGTTTCAATAACAGCAGGCATGCAACAGCAAGCAGCGAACGGCACGACTTGCCGAGGGTGCCCAGGCCAAGGAGGGAAGGTCTCCTTCAGAAAAAGCGGATTCGGTACCTAGTGGTTTTTATTTCGGCGTCTGCCCGTTCACTTGGTCGGTCACAACCGCAGTCCCCGTCAAGCGAGCGGCGGCTCACGCAGCCCAGGGCTCCTTGGCGGCGGGGCAGCCACGGGAGATGCTCCGAGGGAGCCCTGGCACCTGCGCTCCGGCGGGACCGCCTGCCTCGCGCCGCCGCATCCTCTCCCCTCGCCTCGTCAGCAGCCGGCAGGAGACGCGTCCATGGGAAAAATGGCATATTACAAATTTTGCTTTGGGAAGCAGAGCTCGGCTCAGACCATTGTCGGGAGCAGGAGGGGTGGCAAGCGGCTCTTAAAGCTCCAGCGGCCCCTTTCAAGCAGCAGCATCTTTACAGCTGGAAGGAGGCGAGCACGGGAGGGAGGGGCCGGGGCCAGAGCATCTTTCTTTTATTTCTCTCATTTTTAAGTGGATGATGCCGGGCCCTGGCTACGCGCTGCCTCCCAAGCTAGTTGCACCTCCGTGCACGAGCGGGCTCCACACGCGTGCACAAGCGCAGGTTCACGAGTGGACGTGGCTGCCCCCACTAAGTGGTGTTTGAAGCGGGATGACATCACCGAGCAGCTCTGCTCCGTGCTCGGAGGCGCTCGGGCAGACGCAATTTCATCTCGCCTAATCGGATACGCGGTGTAACAAAACATATCATCTGCCCTAATCCGGCCATGACAAAGTGGCGATAATATCTCCTATAATCTGGCCGGCCCACGCGCCTAATTAATGTTTTATGCCATTGGCAACGCCGGAGGGGAGCAGGCGCCCTCTCCACAGACCCAGAGCCTGCCGCAGCCCAGGGACACGGAGCTGCTGCCACCACCGTCACTGCTGCTGCTGCTGCTCGGCGCTCTCCCCCTCGGCAGGGACTTCCCCTGGAAGCCGCTGCAGTGGTTTCCACCAGCGCTTAAATAAATTCTGAAGTAATCGCGTCTGCTCCCCCTGCCTCACGCACGCGGCTCCCCCAGATGCAGCTGCTGCTCCGTGGCTCTCAGGGCTCTAATTCCCTCACGCCCACTCCTTAACCTGGAAAAAATATATATATATAAGGCAGCACAAGGAGAGAACCAGCAGCATGCACGGGCCCAAGGCAGGAGTGGCAGCTGAGGGCCTGGCATGGGGTTGTGGGGCCTTATCTGCCTCGCTGCCAATGCCACCACCACCTGGTGAGGCCCTGTGTGACCTCTGCAGAGAGGTGGAGTGGGGGGTTGGTTGTATTTCTCCAAAAAGTTTGAATTCCCTTCCTCCTCTTGAGAAGGGACAGTGGGGAAATGAGGAGCAGCCCATGGCCCGCTCGGGCCACCATGTCTTGTGCTTCTGACATTGTGCTGTGGCAAATGCAAATGTGTGGTAGAATGCCAGTACTAAGAAGAGTTGCCGACACAGATGATTTAAAAATAAGTGCAAAGCTAAATGGCAAACACCACTCTAAAAAGCAGTGAGTTAGCCAGGAAATACTGGTGCCATGCCAGAGCTTGTTTCAAGCTTGGCCTTGTTTCACTTGGCCTCATAGTGCAAGCTACAGGTTAAAAGGACCAAAGTAAAGTAATTTCTCACACCAGCTGTCCTACACTTCCAAGTAGCTTCTTGTCACATTTTTTAGCCTTCCCAGATCCTTATAGGACTTAATTCATGCTCAGCATACAATTCATTAGAACACTTGCCTGCTCATCACATGGCAGCTGAGAGCAAGATACATCATCCATCAGAGACTTAGGCACATGGCAAACACAAGTAGCTCTGAGTTAGGTGAATAAGGAAAAACTAAGGACTCAGGAGAGCAAGTGTATTCAGTAGGGAGCTGCCTAGGCTGGCTAGCATAAAGTTATTCAAAGAAGGGCATATCTGATTTTCTTCCTTTCTCTGGAGTTAGCTTTAGCATTACTCTGCTGTAAGGTATGTAGGTCAAATCAGGATTTGCAGCTTGAAATTCTCCAGAAGTCAGCACTATTATTTTTTTTTTTAGAACAGAGTCTGTATGTTTGGAAGTGTCACTCTTTAAATTGTTGTTAAAAATGAATGGTGCTGATGACATCCTCATTTCTTGTTCACCTCTTTAAACAGTGGCTTACTAATCAGAGCACTTGCCAAGCATGTGGGAGATTTCATCTCAATGTCCTTCACCCAAGGCAATTGTTTCTACCGCCTACCTAGGAAAAAATCCACCTCCTGCTCCAAGAACTGGAGTGACGCAGAATCACAGAATCACAGAATGGTTATGGTTGGAAGGGACCTCTAGAGATCATCTAGTCCAACCCCCCTGCCCTAGCACGGACACCTGGAGCACAGTGGCATCCAGGCAGGTTTGAAAGATCTTCAGAGGAGACTCCACAACCTCCCTGGGCAGCCTCTTCCAGGGCTTCCCTCACAGTGAAGAAGTTCTCCCTCATGTGGAGATGGAACTTCCTGAGTTTCAATTTATATCCCTTGTCCTATCACTGGGCACCACTGAGAAGAGTTTGGCCCTATCCTCCCTACATTCTCCCTACAGCTACTTATACATATTGATCATGTACACTATCAACCTTCTCTTCTCGAGGATAAACAGGCCCAGTTCACTTAGTCTTTCCTCGTAAGATGGGTGCTCCAGTCCCTTAATCATCTTTGTTGCATTCCACTGGATCCTCTCTAGAAGCTCCACATCCCTCTTGTACTGGGGAGCCCAGAACCGCACAAAATAATCGAGGCCAGTTTTCTGCAGAGGCCTATAGCAGTTAGCCATCCTTCCTAGTCATTTGATTTATAAATATTTGTGGAATACTTCGAAAAGTCTGTCAGCTTGTCAGTTCCTCATACCTTCCCACTTTGCCATCTTTCAGTCATTAAAGGAGAAAAAAAAAAAAAAAAACTATTATCACTACTCATAGGATGGTCTCACTGCCCTTATCCTAGCTGTTGCCAGCGTCAGATGAGAAAGTGTCTTCAGTAGCATGTTGCACAATAGTGAGGCCACTGTACAGTGCAGAAGCTGCAGTTAGTACCTGTGCTTTGTGATGGCAGCTTACACTTTTTATTCAAGCAACTAGATTTTTGAGGTCAATGAAATGGTGGAAGAACAACTCTAAAGAATAGAAAATGTCACCAAGGAAGAACCACAAGAGCTTAGATGTAGAAGTCCTTTGGGCTCTGTTGTAATAAGTGAATGTTCCCTACAGTAGAGGGCATCTTTTGTAAAACTTAGTGCGTGGAAAGTTTTGATCAAAGGTGTAATGATATATTTTATGGAAACTTTATTAATGGAAGGAACTGAATATACTATTTAGCTATGAACGTAGCCTTTCTTTGAGTACAAATTGAGCCATTAGATGTTAAAAACTTGCTTTATTTTTTCCAAGCTCTGAGTGTGCAAATCAAATCTATTAATTCTCCCAAAGCACCAACTATTTTGTCTTACTGTCAACTAGCAGTATTTATCTGGTATGTGAGTATGTGGAGCTCATGAGGCAAGTTAAATGAGGAAAGACATGCAGAAAGTGTAGAATAGACTGAGACAGTACTCTATTACTATAGGAAGTTCTCCCAAGGCACTATTTGCTAGTTTTTTGATTTTTTAAAAAAATAATCCTAAGGCAAAAGGAATATCTAAAAACCATTCCTGAAAGGTGGCTTGCTGTGTCTAAGAGTAGCCATGGGTCTTTCTATCATGCTGAAAATGACAAAGGGAAAGTTGAGGCTGAATGAAATTTTTTTGCGATTTACAGGATGAGAGAATGAATTCACATCACTCTACTCTCCAGGGATAATTGATCATATAGGGAAGTGACAGGGCTACTTGGAAAAATCTTTGCTTTCAAGTCATACAGAGTAAACTGAGGCAGGTAAAGAGAAGTAAAGGTTAACGATGTAGTGAAAAAATAAAAAGTAAAAAAAAAAAAAAGAAAAAAAAGACCCATAGGAAACCGATCTTTATAGCCTGTTTTGAATAATGTCGATGGTGCAAGATGTGCATTTTAAAGCCTGGCAACAGGATCTTTACTCCCACAACATGATGAAGGTCTGATGAAGATGAAGAAAAGACAGCCTGCCTTTACACAGGAGGGAAAAACAGATCAGGAAGATTCAGAAATGATCTTCACTTGATCAAGAAGATTCAGAGATCATCTTCACTTAATCAAGAAGACATTAGAGACTAAAAAAACAGTGCAAGAAAGGATAAAAGTCAGATCCTGACTGCATCTGGAAAAAAGAAATATAATATTATGTGAATAAATTACATTCCAGTGTAATTGGAATAACAATTCCAAATTACAGTAACATTCATGTTTATTTCCCCAAAGTTCTCTGCATATTGTCATAGCTTTAAGGACTTCTCTCTATTTCCTCACTTTACATTTTTCACCTTTTTAAGCAATGTGTTTTTACTTGACATGACCCGATTGCTATGTTTTGCTAGAAGCTTGTCAAAAAAACGTTTCTGTTATGCAAAAAATTCCAGAGGTGGTCTCAAAATTCATCTCGATAACTTTGAAAATGTCCTGGTACAATTGTCTGATATGGTAGGGAGGAGTAACTTAGAATAGAGATGTAATTTTAGCTTAGCTAGACACTCAAAGCCAACTGAAGATCAATTAATTTGATAGTATGACTAGTATCTTCCAGCACAGCTGGATGTCTCTGGCTGGGAAAGGATAGCTTTTATCTCTGGCGTAATAAACCTAGTCTGCAGAGCAAGTGCTAGTTCTGAACTAAGGAATGGTTAATTGGTGAATCTTCTGGTCTTACCACACTTCTTCAAGATGTTTTCTCTGAAGACCAGATATAAGGGCTGATAAAGACTCTTCTGAAAAACCCCAGCTGCTCACATGCTCCTGCATGGAGAGCTGGAGAGTAGAGAGGAACTTTTACGTGATCTGACAGGGTATGGTTGGGAATGTTGTTCACCTAAGAACAGTCATTCTAGTATTTTTCCAGGCTGTCTAACATTTTGATTCTCAGTATTTATCCAGAAATTCCATGGCTTTTTGAATATCTATAATCCAGTAATGAAGGCTTGGGATTTGACGATTATGTTCCTGTGAGATAACAGAGTGTTTTAATATGGGGAAAATATTCATCTGCCAGCAAAAGATGATAA